TAGATATTATTTTTACATTTTCTGTTTTCACTTTAATTTTAGATAAAATTTTAGTGACTTTAGTTTGTTGTTTTTTGTCATTTTTATTAGTTTTTTTAATAAATATGCTATATAGCTTTTTATTGATTTTTATTTATAAGTTTCCATTTAGTTTTACTTATCCAAACTCTAAACAAGATCACCCTCATGTGAGACACTCATCCTAAACCTTATAAATATAGTTTCTTATACAAAGACCCTATTTGTTCTGTGACTTTTAATGTTATATAAGTCCAATATCATTTAGAACATAATGTGTTTCTATTAAGTTCAAGATTATTATTTTTTCCACTCATGACAGCACTGTATTGTTCGATGCATTATTTATTTATTACTCATTTATTTACTTTATTTTTAGTAAATATTTAATTTTACATTACTCTCTTTCAAACGTGTTCACTTAATTTTTTATAAAAAAAAATTTATTATTAGATTAAATCATTTATTTTATTGTAATCTAAATTTATTACTAATTTTTTTTTTTTTTTTAATTACAGTTTTTCTCTAAATATTTAGAAATCCTCTCACTTAAAAAAAAAAAAAGCATGATTCATACGAACTACTCTTTTCTTTTGAAGCTTAAAAATGTCAACGCTCATTTATCGTAAATGCATTGGGAAAATTTTTTTAACTAAAACTAATTTATAGTATAAAAATAAATAAATAAGTTGTAACTTCATGGAAAAATCCTTTTTGCTATCCACAAAAGAAAGTCATAGAGGTTTGTAACTTCATTTTTTCTTGAGTGACCTCTCCCTCGAGCTGCTGGCAGTGTGTGTGTGATTTGATGCACATATATGTGCTGGTGTTACACGCTTGTTTATCTGTTGACTGACTGACAGTCTTGTTGTCAAATGTTCACACACTCATCTGTGTGAAGGCCTCACCATCAGTGACACGCATGTTAATGATCACAGCTCAACTCTGCAGACAATCTGTGACACAGACACACATATGAAGCACATCTTACCTCAATGTGTGCTGCGTGCGCATCTCAAACATAAGGTCGTGTAACTGAGCAGCTTTTAATACATCCGCCAACCTAGAAAAAGCTGAAGTAAACCCTACAGCAGCAGCAGCAGCAGGACTGACAGGACATCTCCAGCATCTCACTGCTATTCAGATAACACTGAAAGCGGTTCGCACAGAAGCTGAAACATGGGAATATCTCTAAAGCGACATATAACAACGCGTCGGCGTGATAATCGCGATGACATGAACTGACAGGTGCTTTTGAACGGAGCGTTTGGAGTGAAACGCGGTCCTGGAGCCGCACAGATGTGAGCGTCTTACCTCCGCAATGCCTCGAAACGACCTCTGAAGACACAGATCATCCCAGAAGCTCGGATAAAACCCGCAACGACATTTTCCTCTCAAGAAGCGGCTGTCTTTCTGCGCTGCCGCTGCTTATTTTGGTCCGTTACTGTGTCGATGACGTTCACTTCCGGTGTCCGCATCCGCTTCCTCCTCCGCGCGACTTCATTTATTTACATTAATATGACTTTACACGCAGCCGAATAGATTCATAATATCTAATTTAAAATATATTAATGCTAAATTAAATACAAATATAATACAAACAATACAAATATAATAAATTAAATAAATAATGAATGGCACTGGCAATGGAAATTAAATGGGTATTTAATCATTAGAATAATGGTAAAGTAAAATAATAACGTATAATGCACTGAATTATATTATTATTATTATTTTAGTAATAGTACTATATTGTGATATTGTAATATAAAAGGAATAATTTAATATTAAATTACCTAAAGATTACATAATAAAATAAATGAAAAGAATAGAGAATAAAAGGGTCGTTAATATGAACAAAATTCTATTTATAGAATAACATACAAAAGAATAATATACTTTACAAATAAAAATAACATGTAACCTACTAGAGAAAAATACTTTTACAAAGTATATTAAAATAACACTAAATAAAATAAAGAAAACAAAAATATAATAAAATAAAATGAAAGCAAATCCGTATTTAATAAGAATATTGGTAAAATACTAAAACAAACCGCATAATATCAATTGGATATTAATAATATATTGTAATGTTATAATAAATAATTGAACACAAAATAATAAATACAGAATTTATAACATAAGATAAAATTATAATTACATAATAAAAACAGATTATGGAGCAATAAAGATGAAGAATAATATAATAAGAATGAGACATTTTAATAAAGGTAAAAAATATACATATACTATAATAATTATAATAATAATAATAGAGAAATGAGCTTTAAAAAGCAACAGTTTCAACATCAGGATTTCAAGTTCACCTAGTCCTATATTCATAGGTTAAAGTTAGTTTTTGAGATATTTGTCGCTGAAAACTTACTAACAAAGGCATGAGACACAACTTTAACATAATTAAATGTCCGTTCCTGGTGTCGCTCATCATAAACCAATCCTGCCTTTCAGTGTCAGTTATACAAGACTGTCTGAGTCTAACTAGAACTAAAGAAACGCTTTACATGAGACGGAGGAGACATTTCCCACCGGACCAGTCAAGCCATTTCTGATCCAACTTGGCTCAAATTTATTAAGAAGCAGCTCAGAGTCAATTCAGTTCATGTTTATTTGTATAGAGCTTTTCACGTTGCAAAGCAGCTTTACAGAAAATTACATTTTCTACATTATATTTCTCTACTGTCATGCATTACATACACAGTAAAGCATCATTACATATTGTTTCTAACATAAAAGATACATTCTATTTATAAATGTGTTGTAATCATCATCGATAAAAGGGTGGTTATTGGATAATTAAACATGTCTAAAAAAATTGGGTTTCTTGCTTGCTTCTGGTTTTTATATGTAGAATCTTTTATGTTTGTTCTTTATGTACTTGTGGACTTTGGTTTTTACCATCAACCTGCCGGGGACTGCAGATGAGAATTAGCCTGTATGGCCAAATCTGGCACATTTACATGATGGACTTGAGTGCTCGTGTTAATTAAGGGGAGACACTGCAGGTAAAAACACTGTTGCACCTGGGCTTTTTGGTTTTTCATAAAGTGTTTTTTCAGACTAGTGGAAAGAAAACATCCAAAAGACACTGTTACGTGTTTCTTTTATAGCACTTTATTTATTTGTGTCAATAGATTTCAATTACAATACATATTTTTAAAGGCCATTTTCTCCAAATTAGTTTTTCCTCCTACACTGAGCCATAAATCTCCACTTCAGTAGCACTTACATACATTTTTAAAGAGGGATTTGTTCATATACAATTTGCTTGATTATATATAACATATTGTTCCCCCCAAAATTGTGAAAATATATTGTTTTCTGTCTGTTCTAAGTGTTTTCTGAATTATGGAGTGACAAAAATCAGATACCCAAAATTCCCTCTGTAAAAACTCTAATATGTCAAAAAAATGAAACTGAGTTCATCCAGTGTGTAGATTTTTGTACTAGAAATTTATGCAAATGAGCGCATTTCATTAAACAGTGCCTCATTTGCATATTTGAACCTAACATTTTTAGAAAACTTCTGATTCTGTTTTCACGATTCGATTTTCTCACAATTTTTTTTTTACAAAATGAGATTGAAGACATTCAGTAAATAAGAAGGTGTCCTTTTATTATTGAAGCTATTGCTGCACGTTTCTTTGTGAAATTGAAATATAACTAAACTAAATTGAAATTTTAAAACAAACCCCAAATCAAAGAAATAAATTACACAAATAAAAGAAATCTCTTTGTATAAACAAACTAAGGCGTTGTCTGTGCTCTTTCCATTTAAAATGAGAGGCAACCACTGCTTTTTAATCATCATCCAAACAAAGATGCAGCTTACATGCAGCATGAGCAGTTTTTAATCTAAATTAGAGACTGTATAATTTCGAAATTTGAAGCAAAAACAGAATGGTCTGACTTTAGTTTTGTGAAACTATACATAAAACACATCTGAAGGAAACAGCAGACGAGCTGAACGAGACGCAGATTCACTCGCTGCCAGAAGGTGGCGCTTATGAACAGCAATGATACAGTGTTTCCTGGGTTACCGCTGTAAACAAAGCAGCGCTGCGCTTATGAACAG